ATTTTGTTTTTATTTATTCCCTTTTTGTTTTAAGGAAATTGAAAAAAAAGCGAAGTCTTGTTTGATTTTAAAGCGTTTAAGGTATTGCAGTGCAAAACGCTAACTTTTCCACCGACATAACACGTTCCATTCGATCGGTTCATTGTCTGTCATGAAAATGCTGCCAAGATGTTGTTAAAATGTTAGTTTTAAAAAAAATTACACATTGTATCGCCGGTAAAGTTTCGTTATCGGTAAAGTATAGCTTTTCGTGTGGCTCGAATGGGAATCAGCATCAAGTAAATTACAGATTTCCAGTTTGGAGTGAAGAGGCCTGCAGGTGACAATAAGGGTGGTAGGTTTCCTTGGAGGCTTGGTTTCCTTTTCCAAAAATTTTAGTAAAAGTAGGTACATAAATAAAATTCAAGCAAAGAAAAGAAAGGCAACGCCCCATTCCATGCCTGCTACATTGTCACGTCAAAATCGAATAAAGTTTTCCTTTGAAACGTACGCCCCTCATCTCTCTGTTTGTGTGTGTGTTCTCACCTGTTGACTATTCCTACCACTCCGTGGACCAATGTTTGCTCTCTCAATCACTGGGCCCCCAGAGTTCAAGATTTCACGTTCAGCGTTCGAGCGTTTCGAGGACTCTTGTTCCCTTTTTCATTGTTGTGGAGGAGCATAGCCTTGGGGAGCAGCACTACCACCACACAGTACAATGGTCCCAAAGTCGATTTTTTTGGTATATACCCAGGCTCACAGCACCCCAAAAAATTATAATTATACCCGTACTCAAAAAAGAGTTAAGGGGTATATTAGATTTGTGGTAAAAGTGGATGTGTGTAACGCAGAGAAGGAAACGTTTCCGACCCCATAAAGTATATATATTCTTGATCAGCATCAATAGCCGAGTCGATATAGCCATGTCTGTCTGTCCGTCCGTCCGTCCGTCCGTCCGTCTGTCCGTCTTGTTGAGCGCCTGGATCTCAAAGACTATAAGAGTTAGGGTAACCAAATTTGGTTTCCAGACTCATGTGATATCACACTGCTACAAGTGTATTTCAAAATTTCGCCCCGCCCCCTTCCGCCCCCACAAAGGACGAAAATCTGTGGCAGGCACAATTTTAAAGATACGATAAAACAAAAAATGCAGTATCGTAGAGAATGACCATATCTACCAGATTGCCGAATCTGAATCAGATCGCCAAAATGAAGAAATTAATTTTCTGTTGCTTCCTCTGCATCCCCCTGCCAACGACCCGGTACCTATCTCTTTCTCTCTCGCACACTCTGCCGCGTTCAGTGCGCGAGCAACCCCTAGCGGAGGAGATGTGGAATCTAAATGGAACATGTACAATATACATGTTAGATGTATAATATAAATAGTATATGTAGATGTAGATAACCGATGTAGCAAAAAAATGTAAAATGTAAAATATTTTTTTTTTTTAATTCTAAATAATTATTTGCTTAAAAATGTATATGCTGACTGAGGTATAAGGGTATAAGTAGAGTCGCGGCCCCAGAAGCGACTCACACGTTCTTTCTCGTTTTTGAATGATTTTTGGCCTAAATCGCAAGAATGGACATTATTCTTAATTTTCGTAAACATTTTCGTTTTTCGAGTTTTGAAAAATGTTGGGGTGAAGCCGTTCACTAAAAGAACCTTCAATCAATGGATCAATCAACTAACTGGCAAACAATGGTCGCCGTAATATTGCACAATAGATAATTCGTGCCTCAAAAGGTGGAGAGATGGGTGGAGAGGGACGGCAAGCAAGGGTTACCAGAGTGTTAGGTGCGAATGCAGATACATAGAATGCAGATACAAACGGAAAATATATATGGAAAATTAAAAGCCTTTAATTTTGCGCGCAGCACGACGATGTGTCCAGCAGTTATTTGTGCGTGTGAACGCAGTAAATAATAGCATACACAGTCGTATCCAAAATTGCAATCTAACTTTTTTTTTTTAGTTTGTGGCTGGGAATCAGAATGAAGTGCACTCTGGGGAAGGCCACAGAGCTCGGCTCATGACGTGACACGAGCCGACTGACAACAAGCATGATTGTAGAGATGTGTGTACGTGTTTTGTAAAAACAAACCGAAACCGGTTTTGTCTTGAGGTTCATGCTCATCACTTCCCTCATTCTGGGAGATGCGAAAAATTTTACGCGATAACAGCCGATTGGCGGTTCATCAGCACAACTTGATCAGCGCTCAGTGATGGACTTCCTACGATTGTTCTGAGGAACGCACATGATTAGTGATTCATGCAAAATGGAAAAATGGAGCGTAAAAAATTACGTTGAATCAAAATCGTTATTAAAAAATTTTATGCAAATGAACTGAAATAAGCAAGTAGCTGACTGACAGCCGTCAGAAATGCCTCAGATGAAGGTGAAGACATCCCCCAGACCACGAGCCTCAAACCTCAGGCCCCACACAGTGGCAAAAATTACACATTTACATAAATATTACAAGGACATAACTTGAAGTCCCACTTCACCCATCACATATCACTCACAACATCCTCATAGGCAAATACTCTATTTGAACGTGTATGTGTCTGTCTGTTTTAGCATTACAATAATATGAAAATTATTTGTAATGAAATTTCAACTTAATAAATGTTCTTTTTCATATCAAGCGAGCGACAACTCATTTTCCACCCACTCTCCCGGCAAAAGCTATTTCCCCCCACTCCGAGTAAGTGTAAAACAGCAACTGAAGCTGAATCTCCGACGAAGGTGAGGCGAAGCGAAAAGAAACGGTACTGAGGAGGAGGAGTCCTGCATCATTACGGAAGCTGGCAGCGATGTCGGCAAAAGTACTCGTAGAAGCAGGAATGGGATGCTAGCGATGACAGCAACGGCAAAAGGAAGTAAAGTTGTCGAAATTGAATTTGCGTAAACGTATAAAAATATTAATATTTATAAAAAATTTGTATCATATTCCCTCTCCCGTTTGCCAGCCTCGACACCTTTTATACTCTGCATCCTTTGCCATCTACGCAAAGTCACGTCACGCAGCGCACTCAACTTTTTTTTTTCCGTTGCACACACGAAAAGTTTACCCAGCGTGTGCGTGTGTGTGCGTGCCCCCTTTAGGTGTAGTATAACAATCCCAGTGGACCAAAACTTCGTAAACGATATCGCAAACGTGAGTTACGCGAAACTCAAGCGGGTAAAAATATCGAATTTAGATCCAAAAACGATAATAAAATTAATCACTAGTCGCTCAGTTTGTGGCAGTGAAAGTTTCGTTTTCGGTAGCTCGAAGAAGGTATCGTTTGCGGACCTTTTATAATATCTTTTGCGAGCCTTTTATGCTATCTTTTACGATACGTTTTTAATATCATTAACAAGCCGAAAGTTATATTAAAAGTAGCCCACTAGTAATATTAAAAGTCAATTAAAAATAATATTTTTTGTCTCGTATTTTGTTCGCATATTTATTGTTTAAGTAGGGACGGCGCAAACGCTATTCCCGGCTATCAAAATTTAAACAGACGAGTTATTCACATTAGGAATAATCGCAAAAGTCAACTCAGCCGACGTGCAATGACCAAGTCTTACTCCGGAGGAACACGCTCGTGATCACGGTTAATCTCTACGCCTCTAATCGGCATCGGGGTTTCCATGTCCTCACATCCAGAAGCAGTTGGGAATTATAAATCTATCCTACTGCTACCCAAGAACACTGAATAGTTTTAAAACTTGTCCAGTTTTCACTCATTTTTAATTCCGTTTGCGATAATTTTGCGCGACATTAGTCGACGCTTGGTTTTAGTACAATAAATGCTCTTTTCTAAGTCCGTCTGCGAACATTTGGCGATACTTTACCGGTAGCTAGCTATTTTCTCCGTTATGTTTTACTTTCTTGTCAATTTTTCACTCAATTTTAAGCCCGTTTGCGTAATTTTTGCGAGACTTAAACGTCCCCTGGTTTTTGTCCGCTCAATTCTCTTTTTTGAGTCCGCGTGCGCACATTTAGCGAGACTACCGGTAGCTAGCTATATTTCCGTTTTTATACCCGTACTCAAAAAAGAGTTAAGGGGTATATTAGCTTTGTGGTAAAAGTGGATGTGTGTAACGCAGAGAAGGAAAATTTTTCGACCCCATAAAGTATATATATTCTTGATCAGCATCAATAGCCGAGTCGATATAGCCATGTCTGTCTGTCCGTCCGTCCGTCCGTCCGTCCGTCTTGTTGAGCGCCTGGATCTCAGAGACCGCCACCTTCCGCCCACACAAAAGACGAAAATCTGTGGCAAGCAAATTTTTAAAGATACGATAAAACTAAAATCGCAGTATCGTAGAGAATGCCTATATCTACCATATTGCCAAATCTGAATTAGATCGGATCATAATTATAGCCAGAATGAAGAAATTAATTTTCAGTTGCTTCCCCTGCCCCCTCCTGCCAACGACAACGTAACTCATTCTCCTTCTCGCTCGCACACTCTGCCGCGTTCAGTGCGCGAGCAACCCCTAGCGGAGGAGATGTAGAATATGAATGGTACATCTATAATCTACATGTTAGATGTAAAATATACATTGTAGATGTAGATGTAGATAACAGATGTAGCAAAAAAATGTAAAATGTAAAATTTTTTTTTTTTATAAAATTCTAAAAAATCATAAGCTCAAAAATGTATAACTGACTGAGTAAGGGTATAAGTAGAGTCGCGTCCCCAGAAGCGACTCGCACGTTCCTTCTCGTTATTTTATACTTAAATTTGTTAGTAGCAGCAAAATTAACTCCTATTAATTAAAATTGTCTAAATAATGCCAAAGATACGAATTTTTTAGTAAATCAACCTCATTTTATATTTAACTAAGCAGCGCGTTTTTCTAATTTGTAAAAAAATATTCGAGGTATATTGCAGGCCTAAAAACTACATTTTTTTCCACAGTATAATTGAATAGACTTTATTTCGAAAAATAGTTTGGATCTAAGTAGGCGCTTGGACAAACTTCAAGCCTGTGGAGAGCTACATACGTATTTCAAAGCACTGCTTCTCTGTCATTACTGATTTCAGAGTTCTGTAATAAGCATCAGTTAAAGCTATATTTTTATTCAACAATTTTTTAATTTCTAAATTATTTCTCGAGATGTCCGAAGCTAAGGAAGATAACAGGGGTGTGGTTATTATGTCTTGCGACTTTGAGATCAAGGGCAGAATTCCCAAAGAGGCGTTCGAATTGTTTGCTGCCGCACAGGCCAAAATCTTGGGACTACGCGGCTACATCATGCAGGTGTCAGAGAATTGCTTCAGAGGCCAACTGCAGGGTCCTCAGATTGTGATTGAAACATTTAAGCAGGTGATCCTGTCTGTCGCCGAGTATGTGGCTGCCGTCAAAGAGTTTGTCATCATGAACCTAACGGCCATCCAGGAGTGCTCCTATAAGTCCTTCGAAATTAAGGCGCCGACTACGTGCATTGATGAGTGTAAGCAGTCACCAGCTGGGCAGGAACCAAGCAGCTCATCTTGAATAAGATCCGCGGCAAGCCTCCGAGGGTCCAGTCAAAACTTCTGTCAGACCAAGGAGTGCAACATAAAATCCATAAAATAGAACCAATATATAGGGTGAGTTGGAAGAAGTAATACTGTAGCCAAACATGTACATAATTCAGGGATACATATTTAAAAACAGAAATAGTTCAGACTATATTTATAAGTGTAATTAATACGTATATATGGAGAAAACTAAAACATAAGGACCATTCAAGAAGCAGCAGCCTGGGAGCCTGAGAGTGTGATTAAGCCCTTCAAACAGACACCAAGCCAAGGATCTTGAAAACTTGAAACTTGAAACTTAAGATCAGGTGCAAGACTCCTAGAGACTTTCCAATGATACAAAAATATACAAATAAATCAATTAAAATTATTAATTTCACCTTGCACAAACACCCCTTAAAACACATGGATATTTCTTGGTTAAATAGTTGGGCAATTGTTTGGTAGGATTGGATAATAATGGATCATATTACGCTTTGCTTAAGCAGAGGATATGTTTTTCGAAAGCTATGTATATTTCCAGATGGAACTGTGTTTTCAGTTCTAAAAAGCAAAGTATTGAGACCATTCCAGTTTTCAAGTTGACTCGGGTCATTTTTTTGAAACACCTTTCCACTGAAAGGTGAAATGTGGGAACCATTCAACTTTTGTTCAACTCAAACACAAACTGAGTTCATTTGGTTGCAGAAGCCGTTGCATTGGCTCGATAGAAGCAGCTTTCACAGTACCAGAGTGAGCAACATATCGTGCAATACCATGCACGTCCAAATGTGGCTAAATCCTTTTGCCTTTTGTAAATGGAAATTATAGCAGTTCCCGTACTGCGGAAAAGCTTCCCAGGATTGGGTTAATGGAATGTGCCCGAATTGCGGCCAATCCAAAGTGGAGTCAAAGTTGGGATCCCACAGCAAACGTAACGATATTCACGGCTGCCACACACTATTTATTATACCCTATTTTAAGAGTAAAGGGGTATATTAGATTTTTGGACAAAACCCATAAAGAGAACCCATAAAAATATGTATTCTTGATCAGCATCAATAGCCGACTCGATATACTATATCGAGTGTAACCTGTCTGTCTGTCCGTCTTTTTTGACTCCTAGTTCTCAGAGACTACATATTTGAGCTAGAGCAACCAAATTTTGCATCCAGTCTCTTGTGTTATCACACTGTTTCAAGTGTGCTCGTTTTTTATTACTTTCGATGGTGCCTGCATTGTGTTTCCCACTTTGTTTACCCCATTAAGCCTCCCAAATGTTTGTTTAATCGCTTCAGATCTAGACATTCATATGTATGTACATACATATTTACATATGTACGTACTGTATGTTATAATTATTTACTCGGGTCAAATGTTTTTCCAAATATTCACATTGCTGGAACTGCATTGGATCGCTCATTCAAGAGCTCCCACTCAAACGGACCGACCTCATGTCCCCCCTGATGCTTTTAATGTATTTTTAATTTATTTTATTGCTTTTTTCAATCGGTTTTCGACTGTTTCTGTTTTTAGGAGCCCATTAAACTGGCATTTAGCCTCGAAAGCATTCGCAAGCTGATGACGGTCTTGGTTTTGGTTTCCATCTCAAATCGGCCATTCTTATGCGTTTCCGTATCTATTTTCATAAGTTTGTCTCCCTGGCGTTCGACATGCGATAATTGTGGGGCAAAAATATTCCTTGGGAGTAAGAAACACTCACATACAATTACGTAAAGGAAGCCTCTAGATTCCTAGAACCTATGTCTTGATGTCTGGTTAAACGTTAACGTTAGGTAGCTAAAACAATTCGATATGAGAAATTAAGTGATATATAGCGGACGGTATACATATGTTGTGTGTGGGGGTTCCGTTTTGTATTGATTGCCTACCTCTGATTCCTCCCTCCCGATCTCCACCCTTTCGACGTGGGTAAATTTTTGATTCAAGCGAAATGAGTGGACAGGCAATTTACAACATAAATGGAAAAAAAACGAGAAGGAACGTGTGAGTCGCTTCTGGGGACGCTACTCTACTTATACCCGTACTCAGTCAGCATATACATGTAAGAAGGCTGGGTCGCGCACACAAGTGCAGACCTCCCAGAGAGAGCTGAGAGCAGAGAGAGTAAAGAGGAGATCGCGAGAACGTCAGCCGACGCCGCTCAGAGGCCTCTCGCCATTCCGTGGTCAGTCGTCGTTTTCGTCAGTCGTAAATAAAATCAGTCGTACTTAAATCAGTTGTCTTTCGCTTATAAAAACATATCTAACAAAGCTGTATACATTACTTATATATCTCTTTAATAAACATACATTTAAATACAACCTTTCACATACATTTTTGAGCATATGATTTTTTAGAACTTTAGAAGTAAAAAAAAAATTTTACATGTTAAATTTTTTTGATACATCTGTTATCTACATCTACATGTATTATGTATATTATACATCTAACATGTAGATTATACATGTACCATTTAGACTCTACATCTCCTCCGCTAGGGGTTGCTCGCGCACTGAACGCAGCAGAGTGTTCGAGCGATAAGGAAAATGAGTTACGTTGTCGTTTGCGGGAGGGGGCAGGGGAAGCAACTGAAAATTCATTTCTTCATTCTGGCTATAATTATGATCCGATCAGATTCAGATTCGGCAGTCTGGTAGATATGGGCATTCTCTACGATACTGCGTTTTTAGTTCTAGCGTATCTTTAAAACTGTGCCTGCCACAGATTTTCGTCCTTTGCGGTGGCGGAAGGGGGCGGGGCGAAATTTTGAAATACACTTGTAGCAGTGGGATATCACATGAGTCTGGAAACCAAATTTGGTTGCCCTAGCTCTTATGGTCTCTGAGATCTAGGCGCTCATCGAGACAGACAGACAGACGGACAGACAGACAGACAGACAGACGGACAGACAGACATGGCTATATCGACTCGGCTATTGATGCTGATCCAGAATATATATACTTTATGGGGTCGGAAACGTTTCCTTCTCTGCGTTACACACATCCACTTTTACCACAAATCTAATATACCCCTTAACTCTTTTTTGAGTACGGGTATAATTAAGCGAGTATTATTATTTTGGCACACACCATTAACAAAGACACACACAGATATGTAGATATGCATGCATGCATGTAAATATTTACATACATATGTATATGCCACATACGATTATTCATATTTTTATATTTTCAATGCAAATTGGCCTCGGTTTCAAATTTCAAACGCAGTGTCTGCTTGCCGACCTCTGATTTAATTGTTAAAAAGCTGGCTTACAATTGTAAACTTTATTTGATTTTTTATCAAATTTAAATACATTTTAGTCTTTCCCCAAGTATACCTACTATATGTTCACACACATAGCTTGACTATAGCGGTCACACAGTTGCAGACTTTGTTTCTCTTTCTCTGATATTAAACTGTGGGAAAACATTTGATTGAGTGTGTCCGTTGGCGGACGGCCTATTGTTTACGAGCATTTCCTTTTACGATATGCTGCTGCTGTCTGATTGTAATTTAAAAGGCTAAATTTTCTGTCAATAAAAACACGCTTGCTCTTGCTTCCCGCTTGTATCCGTATGTATAGACCTGTACCCGATCAGACACTCCACAGCTGTAGGCCGTGCTGTCATCACAAAGCAATTAACGCTTCCCAAAAACCAGAGAGCCAGAAAACTGTAATGGGATTGCAGGGATGGGAATTTGGGGGCCCGTAGCAAAATCTTCTGCGTGGCAAACATTAGGTTAAAAAAATTACCCTCTGCAAGGGTATACACGAGAGTACACGGCAGCAGTTAAGTAGAACAGCTGTTTTGTCTCTTATGCAACTTGTTTGTATTGTATAGTCTTTGGTATGACGCTTTAGAAAATTTCACTTATTCTTTTTCTGTCTATGAGTATGTATGTACCTTCTACCTTCTCCCTTTTTCCTTTTATTATTGCCAATGAAGGAAAACAGGCCTTAATTAAACTCTCACTGTACTTTTTATCGTTTTATGTGGTTGCACTGCGCGGTTATGAAGCGTTTAAAGAATGGAAAGCAAAGCCTCGAATTTGACATTTTACTTTCAGTTAAGACGCTGCTGGGACTTATTGAATGTATGTGCACACCATCCCATTTCCTGGCAATGCGGATTGGACTTAAGGATAATTTGCAGCTCTTAAGTCCTTCCTGTTCCATCCTCCTCCAATTTCAATTAACTGTTGCATTGAAGGCCAGAAACAAAAAGGAAATCGATGCAATCAGTGGCATACAAACGTGGAGAGACCACACTGTACGAGAATCCACAGACACACAGTGTCTTTCCCGTATAGTGAACATTGTGATTGATGTTTAGCATTTAACCTGCGGGAGCTGCCTCCGTGTAAAGGATTTTAAGGGTGTACTGGTTTACCAAGTGTATCGTTTCTTGATGCCTGTGCATAAATTACGCTCCCACAGAGTGGGATGGTGACAACTTTTCACTTTGGTGTCAACTTTACGGAAAACTGCACCAGCTGGAGACAAGCTGGTACTGGAAAAATATGCACTGTGGCTGAAGAGCTGGAAAACGGCTGATGTGGCTGGAACTGGGACTGCGCATTTCTGCAGTTGGTGTGATAAAAAGAGCTTCTCACATCGACATCGAAGGCAATAGAAAAATCAGAAAAATTGGAACGCTATTTTAGGCGCTCCGTATATGGATTACTCATATTGATTTTCAGTGCCTTAGAAAATGCAATAATTCGAACCGTAAACCTGCTATGTCAATGAAGGAAATGGGTGAAGATAAAAACTCTACTTGTAAAAGGTACTGGTGGCCCGCTTAAGCCCTGAGTATTGCCCAGACAAGACACGAGTGCCAACCATTTACGGTGGTACTATGCCTCCATTAAGGCTGATCCACCTCTCGCCACAAGAGAGTTCGCTCTCCGGAAGATGGAGACGGTTGGGGGAGTGAGCTTGGGTCGATATGCAATGCAGCGGTATGGATGTACTTGGATGGCATGTTAATTAACTAAATCGTTTTAATGGCAGACAGAGTGGCAGGGTATTTAAAATAATTTTTACTAAGCTGTTGAGCAAAGCGCATTAAATTGTAATGAGAATGTGGCACAAAATGTTTTTTCCATTTTTTTTTTAAATTTATTTTTTACTATTTTTGCTTGACAAGCTGCCTAAAACCTTAACTTATTATTCTATTTCGTTTTTTGTGTCTTTGCTATTGTTATTGCTTTTGTTTTTTGGTGCTCGTATTTTTCTTAGATTTTTGTAATCGCAATTAAAGGAATGACTTTTAATTATGACTGGGGCCCAGACGAAAGAAAATAATGGTGGAATGGTGAAATCGTGCAAGGGAGACAGCAGACTAAAAACTGAGTGAGACGTGATAATTCCCAACATGAGCAGGGCTCCCCGCCGCCGAAATCCTCAACATTTAGCAAGGGCTGGCAAATAAAATCACACACACAAATTGCCAGACGCAGGGTGCTGAAAGGGGGAAGGCTAGGAAAATGAGAGGTAATGAAGCTGAGCGTCAACTTAATCAGACAAGTATGCTTTGCTAATTTTGGAATAATCTCGAGCTTAATGCTTTTAATTTGACTCATGAACCGTTGAACGCAATATTCTGCATATTTTCCCGACACAAGACAACGGGCTGGGGCTGTCACGGATAACAGGGATGTGGGATGTTGGGAGCCAGAATTTGTATACCCGTAATCGAAAAGTTATGAGGTATAATTTTGTATTAGATTTGTGTCAATGTGATCAAAACCAAAAACATATGAGAGCCGTAGTGAATGAAAAAAAATTCGATTGCTCTGCTCTCATCTCGCTCTCAGTGTTAAGCAACCGCTATTGCTATAGCAAAAGAATATGACGCGAAAAAACTACAAGCAGAGCAGAGCAAATACTTTTTCGTTTTTCGGCTATGGCTCTGCTTCGGCTCTGTTCAAAGTGAGAGCGGTAGCGAGAGCAAAACCAATTACAACGGAGTAGCGTAGCATTTCAAAATTGTGTATTTTATAAATTTAGATGGAGCAAAATAATTTAACAGATAAAATATTTAGAAATTCCACTAAAATCATAAGCTCATCATTTATACTGACTGAGCAACAGAGCAAACAGACGCTGCAGCCGCTGAGTATACACGTTATTTGTCTCTTTTAGTTTATATAACTATGTGTGTTAGAACTATGGTTAACGTTTATTACCAAAATATACATATACATTTTAAGAAGAATTTTTAAGCATTAGGTATATCCAGATATGGTATGGTACTATCGTACATTGCACACCTAACTTGCGTATAGATACGCAAATTGTCATACGCGCTGAGATTGGCGAGTACAGCCATATAGTCCCGTCTGCTCTCATGGGTGGAGCCACAAAGTAGATGGAGTGTGCCGCGCATGAACAGGGCCTGCAACTTGTACTGGGAGTCAGCCTCTGTGGCTGATTCAATCTCCTCGGTGCAGGCGGAGATAACATCCTCGAACCGCTCTTCGATGAAAGCACGGTGGGCGCGAAGTAACCCGCGCAAGGGAGGAATGCAGCGCTTTGATGGCAGAGCTGTTCCCAGGTTGTCCATTCGCCTTTTGGCATCGGCAGTGGCCAACTTCTTTTTCCCGCTATCCCTTAGCTTAATGGTCTCCTTGTTCCTGCAGTCCTCCAAAAGACACGTGGCTGTGATATCGATCAGGCACTTCTCGAGGTCACTGGTGGCCTCGTATGCACGTGCCCGACGGTAATAGGCCTTGGCATAGCGGTGATTGTACTCCAGCGCTTTAGCGCACTCTTTCTTTACTTGAGTCCAGTTCTGGAGAATCTGGTGACAGGCTGCACGGTTTTGATAGAAGATGGCCAACTGCTCGGTGTGCTCCTTGGGGCACTTCTCGATGGCCTTACTGTACAAATCTATGGCCTCCACGTATCTACGCTTGTAGAAGCAATCGTTGCCGTCCTTCTTGTAGTTGATTGCTGCACACAGGGAAGACATCTCCGGAGAGATGCCTATAGCTCCCGCTCCCTGCCCAGGCATCTCCGGCTCGTTCTTTGATGCCTCCAGTTCAGCGGCCTCCAATGTCTGCATTGCTTCCAGCATCGACCTGTCAATCATCTTTGTCTTAATATATTCACAGAGAGGGAATACCAAGGGCGTAAAAAGGAGGAATCTCGACGACCATTTTCCCAATTCTCCAGGCATTCTACTGAAGTCTTGGCACGCACACAACATAAGCAAATGCATAACAAGAGCACCGTTCACTCTCGTTCCGTCTCAGAGCCTTCCTCTTCCTTTCTGAGCTGGCAATTTTGTCCTGCGGCAGACTGCACACAAACATCTCTCACTCTGTGTTTTTTTTTTAAATTCCTTATCTCATTTATTTTGATATTGTGCCTAGATAGAGAATTAACTAATAGCTTACTAATTATTATATATGTATATTCAATTATAAATTAAATTTAATTATAAATTAAATTAAAATAACCGCCAGGATATGTGGAGAATCACAGACAGTTCCGTGTCGCTGCGGGGCGGCCGCGAAGCATTGCTTCGCAAGGACGATGGTTCCTCTTAAGCTGTATACCTTCTAGGGCGTTCACATCTCCGAAGCTCTTTCATCGCGGCGGCAGAAAAATTGCTCACTTTGCGTGTGTGTGCGTGTATGTGTTTAAAGTGTCTTTACTGTCACTGCTGTGGTTCCCAGTCGGACCTTGTAGAAGTGGTTGCAACATAGTACTGGTTCTTCACTACTTCCCTGGCAGGCTTAGTGGAACCGATTCCACAAAGAATGGTTCTATCATGCATATTTTTGCACAGAAAAATATGGAATGAAACCCAAACCGATTCCCGATCGTTCGTTTTTTTCACGAAGCGGCCTATGCATTCTCCATGCATTCTAATAGAAGCGAGAAATTCACGCATCGAAAACGTTCGCCGACAGACGATTTTTATACCCGTACTCAAAAAAGAGTTAAGGGGTATATTAGATTTGTGGTAAAAGTGGATGTGTGAAACGCAGAGAAGGAAACGTTTCCGACCCCATAAAGTATATATATTCTTGATCAGCATCAATAGCCGAGTCGATATAGCCATGTCTGTCTGTCCGTCTGTCCGTCTGTCTGTCTGTCTTTCTGTCTGTCTGTCTGTCTCGACGAGCGCCTAGATCTCAGAGACTATAAGAGCTAGGGCAACCAAATATCCCACTGCTACAAGTGTATTTCAAAATTTCGCCCCGCCCCCTTCCGCCCCCACAAAGGACGAAAATCTGTGGCAGGCACATTTTTAAAGATATGATAAAATTAAAAACGCAGTATCGTAGAGAATGCCCATATCTACTAGATTGCCGAATCTGAATCAGATCGGATCATAATTATAGCCAGATTGACGAAATTAATTTTCAGTTTCTTCCCCTGCCCCCTCCTGCCAACGACAACACATCTCATTTTCCATCTCGCTCGCACACTCTGCCGCGTTCAGTAAGCGAGCAACCCCTAGCGGAGGAGATGTAGAATCTAAATGGTACATTTACAATCTACATATTAGATGTATAATATACATTGTAGATGTAGATAACAGATGTAGAAAAAAAATGTAATATGTAAAATTTTTTTTTATACCCGTACTCAAAAAAGAGTTAAGGGGTATATTAGATTTGTGGTAAAAGTGGATGTGTGCAACGCAGAGAAGGAAACGTTTCCGACCCCATAAAGTATATATATTCTTGATCAGCATCAATAGCCGAGTCTATATAGCCATGTCCGTCTGTCCGTCCGTCTGTCCGTCTGTCTGTCTTGTTGAGCGCCTAGACCTCAGAGACTATAAGAGCTAGGGCAACCAAATTTGGTTTCCAGACTCATGTGATATCCCACTGCTACAAGTGTATTTCAAAATTTCGCCCCGCCCCCTTCCGCCCCCACAAAGGACGAAAATCTGTGGCAGGCACAATTTTAAAGATACGATAAAACTAAAAACGCAGTATCGCAATAGAAGCAAGAAATTCATGCATCGAAAACGTTCGCAGGTAGACGTTTTCGATGCGTGACTTTCTCGCTTCTATTAGAAGGCATAAAGAATGCATAGACATAAAGAATGTTTTCGAAAGCAAATTCGTACCCTCGGTAAGGGGGAAAGACAACACAACAAAAATAACAAAAGGGAACATGCAAGAACGCGCGGTTTTTTCTCGTCTTCTTTTATTTCATCACTTGAGTCTTGAAGCCGGTGAAAATTGTGTGTTTATCTGTGCTCTCTGCCAAAAATTGTGAAAAAGTGAAACTTAAGTGCCTAAAACTGTTTATTTTACCACGTAAGTATTGGCAGATTGTTGTGGCAGTTCGGCCTGCACCCTAAGAATATTTAAATAAACAATAAATAATGCATAATATACATATTTCTCTTTGAACATGTACATGTACATGAACATAACCTCAACGATGGAATGCGATATACATAAGTTCTTCAAACTAAGGAGAACTAAACGCACTGTAATACTCTCTGCACACTGAGTCCATCCTGGGGTAACGGTGGGAATTTTTGAAATATGTGAAACACCGATTCACATTGACACCCACCATCCACCATCCACCATCCATGAGAAACAGCTGTTGCTCACAATTGCGTGAGGTGAAAATTTGTTTACTTTAATTAAAATGAATATAAATAACATTTCAATGGTCGTGAATGTGATTCAGCAGCAAAACATATTCTTGCACAAGCTAATCATGTTGTTGGACATGGACGATGATGATGAAGATAACTTTGACGAGGAGGAGATAATAGAATGGATATCTGTTTTGAAAACACTGAAGCCCGGAAGGTTGTGGTCATTTGTGAGTGCTTCTAATAAATGCAACCAATGTTTAAAGTACAAATATATATGTTATGTTTTTCAGAAGCGGTTCGGTACATTTTGGGAGAAGGATGTACCCGAAAACAACGAGGCGTTTTTTAAGGAAAGTTTTAGGATGGAGAGATCCTGCTTTTCTCTGTTGGTTACTCGCTTGGAAGTGCTACGGAAGAAGGACACAAACTGCCGAGCTGCAATTCCTCTGGAGAAGCGTATCGCCATATCTTTTTATACTTTGGGATCTTCTTCTGAAAAGAGTGTTTTTCGGAGTGTCAGCCAACAGCGTCTGCAATATCCTGCATGAGTTTTGCAGAGATTTCATCAACGAATTCTCAGAGGAATACATGTCCAAAAACTATCTCACTTCAGAGAAAATTGACGAGTGTGTCCAAGCATTTGAAGAAATTGGGTTTCCTCAGTGCCTGGTGCAATTGGTAATAATGCAATAAAATCATCCATAATATATGTATATACATATATGTAAATTAATTTCATTACTTAATTTTTATGTTAGATGGATGTCACATCGAAATAAAACCACCTGCAGCTGAAATTTGATATTTTTTATTTTTTGCGTGCTTTGTGAGATCTGATGGGGTTATTTTGTTTTATTTTTATATTTTCCTGTCTGTCATTGTTTACATTTTCGTAGTGATCTCCGATTTTTTGTTGTGAAATATGGTTGCATTTGACAATTATCGAAAAAATACCGCACTGAAACGTGAGAATTAGGAACATCCCAGATGGATGGTGGAATAACTGGGAAATTTTCGGAACGGCAAAACCTTACGGACCATCCCAGAAATGGATGGTGGATGGTCCCCAGTGTGAAAAGGCTATAAGTATTAATAGTGGTGTAAATATATGTTGATACAAGTAGAGAGATGTTTCAATGTTCACGATGTTCATGCAGTGAAATTTATTTAGGGTGGACCTTGATCGGATTTTTAATGAACTGATTAGGGTGGACATAAACATTAAAAAATTGTATTTGAAATTAATAAACTTTTGCCAAAATTAATAAAACAATAAAAAATTTCTTTTTGATAAGGACGGCATTCTCCAAAGGAAAGAATCGCATTTACTCGGTCTCCTGCCTTGCAAGGAAACATGCAGACACCGACAGGAACGACGGCAACAACATCCCCGAGAAAAACAACAACTACAACCACGACAAGGATTTCATCATAGACGACGACGGCAATTATTTAATTTTTTTTATTTTATTATTATTATAATTAATTTTCTTTTATTTTTTTTTTCATTTCTTTTTTATCTTTTTTCAGTTTTATTTTTTTCTTAAATTTTTTTCGTTGTTTTTTACTTTTCCTTATTTTTATTATTTTTTGTATTATATTTTAGTAAAGAAAATATTAAATAAATCAAATTCGAAAAAATTTATAGTTTTTGTATTTATGGGTTAATCTCGCGTTCTTTTAGAACGCTCTTTCATGCATGCATGTATGCATGCTGCATACCTTCTCAAGGAACGGTTCTTGATACATTCCAGGGATGTGATAAGGAATGATTGAATTGGAACAGTTCCAGAACGGTTCTTAATAGGTTCCTATGGAACGATTCTCGATGCATGCCAAATATGTGTTCTGTAATGCTTCTTTCGGAAAGTACAACTGGAAGCGAAACCCGAGCGTTTCACGAAGTTGAAATTACAACAACCACCAGTTCCCAATGCGTTCTAAAGGAACGGTTCCTACCTACTTCCAAATGTACCGGTGCTGGCGTGTTTCGCCCTGTGTAATTTGGAAACCAAAACGTCATGTATAAATCACTGGTGCTTGCAGGAAAAAGAACCGCTCTAGAAGTGCTTCTTGGAAGGTATAAAGTCCGACTGGGTTATCATGATTTAAGCGCTAATCTGCACTCGCACTCCGGGTTGTGTTTGTTGGTTGATATTTTGCCACTTCTCACCGACCAAGTCCCCAATGTTGCAGATAGATGGCTTCCGTCTGTTAAGAGTTTGAAGAAGCCACACGAGCCGTGCAACCATCTTCAAAGGTATAGGTCTGGTGGCGATCGACCACATATTGCATCAGTCTGATGCGATTTACATTGGTTTTAATGTGTGAATACCATTCAATCGGATTATCCGATGGGACTTGTGCACAGACACAAGCACCGACAACGACACCTTTGCCATAATTGAGACAGGAATATCAATCACCTTGAGTTTTTGTGCAAGAAATCTGTTGACCAAATTATATGGAATGGAATTTCACCTATTCTCCGGGCTTGATGTTTGCTGGTGTATCCTACACTGTAGGAACTTCTGTTCGCTTCTGTGTTTCCAGAGGCGTTTGCACAAAAATGCAATTATTATGCCGGCAGCTGGCAACTGAAACTGCTACAACAAACTGCCACTGGGAGTGCAACATTTTGCATATCAAAGAGCCAGACTGTAAAGCCCCCGAGGCGCTGTCGGGAAACAGTTCACAGAGAAGGGCACGGGACACGGGGCAGGGGCAGCTTCCGGGAAACGTGCTCGGGGCGTTAAAGTCGACAGTTCTATGCGAGCGGGAGATAAATCCCTGAATCAAATACCAAAGTTCAGTTTAGTATCCAATTTGGCTAATAAGGAATTTACTCGATTGCCAACAATTTATGGATCCAGTGGTAGCATTTAATTTTGTTGTGTGTTGCCCCCACTCAATGGTGTCCTAATGCCCACTCGGAGCCTGGAAAAATGATTATTGACTCCAGGGGCCTCTTGTAAGCGGCACACAATGGAAGCAGGGCTGTTTCATTGAGTGGCTCTTGCCCACTCAAGTGTTTAGGAGATGATGAACGAACCACAGCAACGGGGCTTTTTGTCCTTTTGTTTAATCCGACAAAGTTGAATCGAGTTGAAACAACTGTGAAGCAACTCCAAGACGAGTTTCTAATTAAAATTATTGGAATAATTATTCGCCTGCATGCTACATGCCACACGCCTTTGACATGTCGTTGGAGGCGAAGTGGAAGCACAAAAATCAATCAAAGCTACAAATCGAATAAAGGTTCAATGAAAGTATCCCAAAAAAAAAACCAACAACCCAGCCATACGAGCAGTATTTTAAAGGGCAATACTTAGGCCCCCTCGCAGCAAAGGACATAAATAAAACTGATAAGGAAATTGTATTTTCCGATATGCTCGTAGATATAGAAAAGCTAATGACTTTTGCCAGCATATTTCGCTGGCAAGTCAACGACTAAGTAGCAAAGAAGAAGTAAAAATCATAAAACAAATTTGTTCTCGATACTCTTTTGAACGAGTGGCCCTGAATTTGAAAAGGTTTTTCTACGGGCTGATCTTTAAGTACCTTTGTCCATCGTTCATATATATGTACATACATACATCCATGTGGGTTGGTGCCATGGTGCCATGAGTCTAGGCACAGCAAACGCGAACGCGAATTGCTGCGAATTCCATTCAAGACAGGAGAGCGCAAAGCAAGAGCGAGCGAGGGCGAATTTTAATGAGCGCCCATAATTGCATCATGGTCCAAAGCAGGTCGACGAGAGAAATGCCGAGAGATCTAAAATTTATTCTTCGATCTTTTTGATTCCAAGAGAAAGAGCATTCATTTCTCCGCTCTTCTCGATGGAAGCCACATCCTGACAGCGGTGATTGAGTGAGTTCGTCGTGGATGAAGATGTGCCAGTGGATGGGGCTGTGGACTATTGAATGTTGCGGTCAAGAGTCAAGGACCTCTGTTCGGGCGCGGGCATAAAACTTTGTTGCTGAATAGGTAAGCGGCATGCCCACCAGTGCCACTGCATTTCAGGAGGCGTGAAGTCAAAACCATCGCGCGATGCTAAAAGATTAAAAAACGCTTAAGCAGCGCTGCCCAACAGTAACAAAAGCACCAATATGGCTGCAATAACTGTAACACAAACACACCAGCACCAGAAAAAATTTAAGACAAGAAGAGAGCTCTACAAATGAAATTACGACTAAAAGCTACTCAGAATTTAGAATATAGAATATACCCCAGAACTTTACGAGTAAGAGGAATTATTGGAGCAAGAGCAGAGGCCTTCTAAACAACAGGGGGCAAAGTCAACGCCGGCGCAGAGATGGCACGGATAAAAGCTAAAGTGGGGCAGATCGGATAAAAAAGAGCGTACGGATAGCAATCAACACGGGCCGGATAAAGCCAGCTGGGAACACTCGACTCCGTTTGTGGCGCTTGCCGCACGAGTTTAGCCGATGCACAGTTGTACCGGCAGCCGATGTAGGGCATGTGAACGAGTGAGTGCTGTCCCCACTGCTGTTGCTGTTACTGCTGCGACCGCCGAACCCACAGAGCAAACTTTTTCGAATAAAACCAAAGAAATTTGTTTGTTTTGATTCAGTCGTTGCGGGTTTTTTAAGGCGAACACAGCCAAGCCAAGCACTGCTCTTGGAACCAAATAGAACCACACCGAAACCAAAAGCAAAACTAATACCAATACCAATCACAGTTCCAGCTAGCTAAATAACATTTTTTAAATTCGCAAAATACAAAAAACAGGAAAAAAACAAACAAGTAAAACTCATCCCAATAAACAAAAACAGAAATATTTTTTTTTTAATTTTTTTATTTATGTGTGGCGCGTTCCGATCCAATCCAAGACAAGTGAAAGAGTGTTTGTGGCATGGCCAGAAATTTATCAGGTAAATAATGTTGCTTTTCTTTAAATTTTGTTCATACATACGGCAAAAGGTAAATTTTCGATATACAAATGATCTTCGGTGTACCGCGATTTGTGAAGAATTTACGCGCAGAAACTATTTGGCGGTCGGACATATTTCCTTTTTAATGGAATTTCAAAGTTTCATTTTTGCACATACAAAATTTAAACATAATCATGTATGCTTTTGAATAAAATGTCAAAGTTTTCCCACTTTTTTAATATGAGAATGACATTGAAGTCTAAGTTTTGTCTATAGATGTTTATTTTGTAATTATGGGAAGTTACACGGGTTGTAAAATATCTGTTTTGCGGTTTTTACCGTTAAATTCAGCCAAAAGAAAAAATAAGCCCAGAAAGTGTGCACCTTTTTCATTGATGATACTTCATCGGCAAAATCTCGGTGTCGTACTCTTATTTCATGTAACAAGGAAAAAATAATGCAATTGCAAGGAGCCAAATTATCGAATTTTGCTGTGAAAGCCGCGAAACAGACCTGACATTTTACAATGTTTGAGCATAGGCCCGTACATCGCACATTTACTGGGCCAGGCCAAAATCCGAGCTGGCAGTTAAACAATGGCAAACATTTATTGTGGCGTCTCCGAAGGGCATAAAAAATGCCGCAGAATACCAATAGGAATGAACTATAACCCTATGTCCCTTAAATGGGTTTCGAACAATCCTTGACGAAAGTTTTAAATTGATTTAATTCATCCTAGAGTCATGACTATTATATTATATCATACACCCACCGCGTAGACATCTTGGTGCATCGGTTTTTGAGTCAGAAACAGCGATATTGGCGAGGATAGCGGAAAACGGCCAGAGGACAACGCCAACTGTTAATTATCATAGCCAGACCCAGGCCCAGACTTGGAGATGGCAAACCTCTAGCTGGAGCTGTTGAAACCTATTAAAATTATATTTAATGCACTTACCCGAGATGGCGTCCGTCCTTGTTCTGTGTACAGCTTCCATAGTCCAGGGTGAAGCTGCGAGAAATAGGAAAATTGCTGATGCACTTGAAATGAAGTAATTTGATTAGGTGGAGAATGTTCCATTGGAATGGAAGGGGGGTTCCGTTTCACATTCTCCACATAACGTATCTCCACTGCCACATGTACACACACTCATTAGCTTTAATGAACAGTTAAGGCCGTAAAGGAGTCCGGAAACTTGAATCAGATAAATGAGGAAACTCAGTGAGAGACTACTTGGCTTCCCTGTGGGATATTTTAGCATGTTATGGGACCGACTTGGTGCAAACAATGAGTTCTTGTTAATGCAAAATAGAAAGGGAACTAAACGTAGTTAGTGCAAATAATTTTGGAAGAAGCTCGTAGAAGGGACATTGAAGGTTCCAAAGGTCTAAGTCTGGATTGTGGCACCATTGTTAAAACATGCGAACTCTAAAGATTGGGACTCGGCTTTTAGTCCATTAAATTTGGTAGCAGTCCATGATGAAACAGACCTCTCCGTCCGATGTCTTTGTAAATTGTTTATGAAACTTTTTTCCGCATAATTAAGTTGACACCAAATCGATTCCCATTTATGATGCACCAAATTTTAGATGCTATGGTTAATTTCAGGCATTCCCTTTTGAGATTCAGAGATTATTGGCCGCAAACAGACCCTGTCCGCGGGTGCGAGTGTCCCACAAAAGGGAACTCGGCAACCACAAAAACATGAAAAACCTTTTGAGTTCTGACCTGTGGTCAGCAAAAATAAAGCCAATGTGTTCTCCACATAAACTGCGGTTGCGAACGCAAAAAGGGAAACAGTAGGATCCTCTTGCAGTTTGATCGAGCTGTATGATATAGATCATGGCGGTAACAACTAATATACTCAAAAAAGAAACGACTCAGAAGAGCTGAAGTTTCAAAGTGTACGTATTACGTACACATTCTAACGACTTCTAAATGGCGTCATCAGTGGAATGGTTTCGAAAGAGTATACTTGTACAACAATACAAAATGAAAGAATGAATGGAAATTCGGTTTGGAGAAAATGCAACAATGCACAGAGGCAAAAGTCGACGAAGGTGATGAGTGAGGGTGAGGAGACAACCCTTTTGGCCAGCTTCTTGTGAGCTGACCTTGCGGGCGGGCTTCATGCGGAAGTTATTGAAAGAAACCCATTAAGAAGATGTCCGTACCCGTAACCCTGGAGTCGTAGCCACAAACTGGTAGCCAGATCGCGGTCGGTCAGTTGGCCTTTTTGGTTCGGGGCCACTTTTTGTTTGTGCCGGCTAAAATTTGTTTGCGGCCAGCTGGGAAAAAAGGAAAGCTCCCCATCATCCCAGCGATTTTTTTTTCAGTCTTTACTTTTTTCCCCCTCCTTTTTGGGGTTTCTCTATTCTTTAGGGTCCACTTAATGGCACCTGTGGCTCCTCCTGCTTCTGGCTCTGCTAATCACGATTTTAATGACGTTTTACCTCATACCCTTTGTTGTCCATGATATTACTTATGGATATCGGTGAAAGGGTTTTGATTTAGTGTTAAAATTTTCATTGATGAAGTTTGAGATAAAAGTCGATTAAGACGAGGCTGGCTTAAGAGTCCTCCAGACGGTTCCACTATTATCTTATATGTGTTTTCCATTAGCGCGTAGAGATTTCGGATACGGGATCTTTAAAAAAATACTTACACAGTAACAAGAGGGTGATATACATACATTTAAGGGTGGGCTGCAAATACAAAACTTTTGAAATTTTCATCGGCCCGGTGATAAAAAGTTGCCTAAAGGGACTAGAAAGCGAGGGCAAAGAAATTTGGAAATTGGTTAACAATTGATCCCTTCGCATCGAGCTAAGTATAATCGCTTTCGGCCAATTTAGACAAAATTTCGTCATTCAATTTACAAACCTCTATTCATTATACCCTTACTCGAAGAATCGGATTTACTGGAAAACTGGCTCCAAAACGCACTTCAGCCAGCCGAAAATCGCTTCGGTGGCCAAAATTAACTTTCTGATCCTTACTGAGCGATGTCAGTCTATAGATGGGAATGGGAAGACGGGTTTTCAGTCCCAGCTGAATATTAGACCGCTTGGGCCGACCATCTGGCCTTCAGTAATTTAATCACTTAAATTTGATTCCTCAGCAAGCAGGCAGGCAAAAAAAAAAAACAAAATCCAGAATCCGGACGGGCAATATGTAATTTCAATAATTTATTTTGCTTTGGCGAAGAGTTTTGCTTTTTTTGGCTGTTTTTTATTTTGGCATTTAATATTCTCTATAAAATAAATATTTTTCGGTAAGAGAAGACGTCAGAACGAGAGCCTTTAGGCCCTGTCAATATTGGTACAGCACATTGTTTGCTCACACTTACATATTCGTATGTATATATATGTATGTACCTCTATATATACATAAGTATACGCAATATCTATGGATATATAGCACACAAACACATTTAGACTATGCAAACGATGCTGGCCAAAAGATGAAATATGTTAAACCGACAACATATTGAATTTAGATTTAGTGTCGCCAAAAAGCAAAGCAACCGAGAACTGAGCAGCGCGTGCAAAGCTCGCAGTGCGATTTAGTCGGGGCACGTGTCTTGTGGCAGCGCAGAGGCAACTGTAAACAACATTGATGCTGTCATAGGAAGCAGAAAACTGTGCTCAGCCTTCCAGGTTTATTGACACCAAAACGAAATCAACAGCGGAGATGAGTACTTTAAGAAAAGTATCATATTTCAAAGCACCGTTAAATATTCCTTTAAAGAGCGCTTACGAGAATTTTTCCATTAAAAAAACTATTTTCCTTTGAGCCAGTTTGGAAACAATATTTGGTTTCTCTAGCTTTATAGTCTTTGAGATTTAGGCGCTCAACGAGACGGAAGGAAAGACAGACGGACATATACTTGGCTATTGATGCTGATCAAGAATACATAGAATATACGTTATGGGATCGGAAACGTTTCCTTCTGTGCGTTACACACATCCACTTCGCCCAAAAATCTTATATACCCCTTAACTCTTCGAGTACGGCTATAAAAATACTGCCTTTACAATTGATGTGGATTTTTTTACTGTTTGGCTAATAATACCGTACTGCTTCTCCTTCCGTTACAGTTCACATAATGTATATGGGGCCATATCCTTGAAGGTTAGCAATCATTATAATGCCAATGAAAAAAAAACATCAGCCAAGTGAAAAAAGGAATGTTTGAGAGAGTTTGTTCAGCTTTCTCTTTAATGAGGCAAGGTGGAAAGGTGAGGGATTCATGGCCCGAAACTCTAGAGCCCAGAGCTCTGAGCCCTGCTCACCATTGTGTGCTGCGTGTGGTTTCATGCAGTGGTGCCACCGGCTAGCAACAGGTTGCGCTTTCCTCAATGCAATTGGCAATGAACCTCCTGGATATGGATATACGAGGATATCCTTATAAGATAAGGGAATGAGAATGGATGCGGCTTACGCTTCCTAAAAGGATGCGGTCCAACTCAAGGAGCTATATGGATGGGGATGTATGAGGGAGGTTCTAGTAGATTGCCTAAAGAACAAAGCCAGGCAGATTTCAATAAAAAAGACTCTTTGATGCTTAAAATTGAAAACATATTTTCCCACAGGGATTCCATAAATAAGAGCAAAAAAAAGGTCACAGAATAAGGAATATTTATTTTATTTTTTCCATTTTTGTTGAATATTGAATGAGCAGCAATTATATGCTCGTACAAAGAACATTTGTGAGTATATCTGAGTATTTTTAATTAAAGATGGAACTAATTGAATTCAGTTTTATAGGTAGAGAGGGGGAACTTTTTATTGAAGAGTTTTAATAACCTTTTGTTGTCCGCAACAATTTATATTTGATTATCTTTGGCTTCTGCCCTCAGCATAATTGAACAAAGGGAAAACGCTTAAAATCTACAAATATCTAAATGCAAACTATTTTTCTGCTTGAGAAAGGAGCTCAAATCAAATCATATATTAATTGCTTATATTATGTAATTGAAAACATCTTGAATGGCCG